CCTGGTGTTACTGAGTTACACATTTGTGTGTCCAAAGGAGGGTGACCTAAATAGTGAAAGGTCTAAAAAAGCAAACCCATGCCCTATGGGGAGCAGCTTGGGGAGCTTGGAATGTTCAGCCTGGGGAACAGAATATTAAGAATGACATGATAGACATGTTTAAATATTTGAAGGGATTTCAATTGAGTATGGAGGAAGCTTATTTTCTGCAGCTCCAGAGACTAAGACCCAGAGCAATGGATTCAAGTTGCAGGAAAAGAGATGCCAGTTAAATATTAGGAAGAAGCTCCTGACAGTAAGAGCTGTTCAGCAGTGGTATACTCCACCTCAGGGAATGGTATGATCTCCTTTTTTGGAGGTTTTTAAACAGAGGACCTTATCCCACGGGGCCAAAAGCAGCAAGAATCGGCTAAGAATCAGGCGCTATAGCGCTATAGTTTTCCGGGTGATCCCACGACGTCGCTCGGAATCGGCTAAGAATCAGGCGCTATTGCGCTATAGTTTTCCGGGTGATCCCACGACGTCGCGCGGAATCCGCTAAGAATCAGGCGCTATTGCGCTATAGTTTCCCGGGTGATCCCACGACGTCGCTCAGAATACAACAAGAAACCGCTCGGAATGCAGCATCATTCGGGTTCTTTTGTATTCCTGTTTTCATCGGGCATTGCAATAGCGCTAGCTTATCCATAGCGCTATTATAGCGCTAGCGCCATATTATACTAGCGCTATAGTACTGCAATGATGCTCATACGGTTTCTTGCCACTTTTGAGAGCAGCGTGGGATAAGGTCCAGAGGCTGGATGGCCACCTCTCAGGAGTGATTTAATTGTGTATTCCTGCATGGCAGGGGGTTGGATTGGAATGGCCCTTGTGGTCTCTTCTGTGATTCTGTATGTATGCATATATATTGTTGTATTGACTCAGTTGAGTCCTCTTTCTTCTCTCAGTAACCAGAAGATGTTGTGGGAAGTTCAGGATCATGGCACGATAGCAGTGTGTATGTCTTTTTTTCCTATTAAGAAAACAGCAACTTGACTTTTAGCTTCTGTCTTCCATCATTTTACTGATTTAATTTTAAAAATCATTTATTGAAGAAGTCTTAATAATGTCCATAGGTAGTTAAGGCACTGATATTTCCATTTGTTCTAAATCATCTGTTTTATTGAGTGACTCCTAGGGTTGTGCTGGGAGTGCCTCCTTTCTTCCGATCATTCTTTCCAGACCACTCATCCAAACATTATTTCTGTCCTTTACCCACTACCTCTTGGATGCAGCATTTACCAAATGCTAACACATT